GCTGGGGGCCCACCCTCTGGGAGCCAGCATGTTCACACGACTTTATGGGAATATTTTTGAGCTCTTGTGTGTTCAAAACTGGGATGGAGGCATCAGGTGTCGTGGTGCACACTTGTAAGCCCAGCTGCTCAGGAGGCTGAGACTGGAGGATCACAAGTTTGAGGCCAGCCTGGGGAAGGAAGCCCTGTCTAAAAATAAGTTTTTTGTTTTTTGTTTTTTAAGGGGGGCTGGGAGTATAGCTTAGCGGTAGAGCACTTGTCCAGCATGCAGGAGGCCCTAGGTTTAATCCCAATTAACACACACACACACACACACACACACACACACACACAGTGTTGGAGCCTGTGTACTTGATCTTTTTTGCCTTTGTGCCCCAAAGTTTATTTATAACTTAATGCCAGTAACATTACTAGAATATATCTCGTAGTGCAAACATGGTATGTTTTTTCAAAAGTAAATTGAAAATTTTTTTTTTTCTTTTGTGGTGTTGGATATCAAACCTAGGGTCTCACACATGCTAGGCAAGCAGTCTACTGCAGAACTATACCCCCAGCTCAGAAGTCTTTTTCTTGTATCAGAAGTATCTTCCGGAATTATATCTTTAGCTAGCTATTGTATTTCATTGGAATTCCAAATGTAAGGAAAGAGGAATTTCTCCTGTAAAATGTATTTCTTATTTACAAAAAAGCAGGAACCACAGAGCAGTTCTGCAGCAAAGCAAGGAGGAAGCTTGTGGGTTGTGAGGTTTGTGAGACTCAGCTGTGTGACTCACGTGTCCGCCTTCCGAGTGGCCTCAAATCCTCTGCTCAGTAGAGTTGGATCCCTTAGTATTCAAATGTCAATTCTCGAGCACCCATCCTTCGTGCCGTGGGACACCCAGCACCTCAGCATCAGCAGGACCTCTCACAGGGCATTTGTATCTAGTAGGCATCATTTTCTCATTCACCCTGACTTTCTGCTTCCTCTTGTGCCACTGTCAATCTTACCTGGGTATCAGGACACGTGGCTTTTCTCTCTGCCTTGCCTCTGTCTAAACATGGAGTACATGCTCTTCACCTTGATGACCCCAGCATCTTGTACTGTAGTAGATCGTTAAAAACATATAGAGGGACAGATGATGACATTGCAAAAATTTTTAATTGTTAATTAAACATTCCCTGCAGCTGGGTATGGTGGCACATGCCTGTAATTTCAGCACTTCAGAGGCTGAGGCAAGAGGATCATTGTGAATTCGGGACCAGCCTGGGTTACAAAGTGAGCTCAAGGCCAGCCTGAACTGCATTGCGAGACCCTGTCTCAGAAAAACAAAAAACAAAATAAACAAACAAAAAATTCCCTGCAAGGCTGGACATGGTGGCGCATGCCTGTAATCCCAGCACTTGGGAGGCTGAGGCAGGAGGATTGTTGCGAGTTTGAGACCAGCCTGGGCTACAAAATGAGCTCAAGGCCAGCCTGAACAGCATGGTGAGACCCCGTCTCAAAAAGACAAAAAAAAAAAAAAAATTCCCTGCAGTAGGCTATTATTTGTTACTATGATGAAGTACAGGAGGCTAGGTGATTTTGTAAAGAAAAAGTTTTATTTGGCTTATAGTTTAGAGATACAAAGGCATGGTGCTGGCATCAATGGGCTCTGGGGAAAGCCTCACAGTGGATGGAACCACAGTGGTGGGAACTTCAGCGAGAGGGAGAGATCATCTGGCAGACAGGAAGTCAGAACAGGGAGGGGCCAGCACTGGCCTCCCAGGAGCCGCCTAAGAGGAAGAAAGAGAGAAAGAAATTACACATTTTATGGAATGCAATTATATTCCTAAGCAGGCTGTCCTCTTTGCTGATGTCTGTTCTCTAAAGGAGAAAGATGTATCCTTCCAGGGCTAGGAACTTGGGTTACTGTAGACCATGGAGATTACTTGTTAGAATAGCAAGGTTGTGGGTTCAGTCCCCACTACTGCAGAAAAAAAAAAAAAAAGAGGTCTTCTTCCAGAGATGAATTCTGTATTTTCCTTCAGAGGCAGATATAGCTGTACCCACTTTTCCTCCCCTTGTTGCATATGCTTACTGGTGTGTTACTCAGGTTGAATTCCTTTCTCCATCAGGTTATGCCCTCCAGGAGGGCTTATATTGTGTCACTTTGTTTTCTGCAGTGTACTTACCACCTGGCACGTACCAGACTCCCTATGTATTGAATGAATGAACAAAGGAATGAATGAACAAGCGGCTTACGGGAGACATCTGGGGCCAGGGACTCTGCAACCTCACCATGTAACAACTTTTCCTTTCGCCTGGGTTTCAGATAGAAACAACAGGCTGCCTCTTATCTCTCAAGGATGATACTCCCAGGCCTGCAAGTCCCTTTCCCAGAAGGTGACCTCCATTTACAGAGGCTGGGCCATCTGCAGCGTCAGCGTTTCCTGCTATGGGGGGTGGTGACTGGCGGGTGGCATGTCTATGCGGTTTGCTCCCTGTGCCCTTTGTGAGTGGAAGGATCTTTCTTCCACTGTGTTCTCGATGAGGTCAAAGCTATTGTTAGGTATTGCCCAGAACGAAGGCAGGAGAAAAAGTGGCCAGAGCGCCACCCTTCTCAGCAGTCATCGCCTGAGTCAGTCTGGCAGAGGCCAGAGCAGCACTTTCTGTGTCCACCCCAACCTTAGTTGGCCAAGCCAGCTTGAGGGTCCACAAGGGTTTGGAGCAGCACAGTCTCCACCTTAAGCTGGAGAGTGGGAGCAGAATGCCTGATATCTGGGCACTGCTTGGGGCTGACCCTGGAGGGGACATAAAAGGACGTTAAAACCACCTGTCCGGTCTCTGGTTTATGTGGTCCTGGATTGTCCTTGTGATGGAAGCAAGGTCAGCCCCTGCCAAGAGAGCCACCTTCCCAGATTCAGGGAGGCCCTCAGGTAGGTGGCCGACCACAAAAGGGATGAGCAGATAATTTCTGATGTCCATGAATGACGAGATACTAAATATAACAAAAGGAAAGATCCCAACCAGGATAAAGCCCAAAACATAAAATAGCTAGGATCAGGCATAATTAAAAATCCAGAGGGTCCATACCAAGAAGAAGAAAATCTAGTTCACCGACAAACTATTCTGAGTTGCTAAAACTAGAGAATGAAAGGATGGAATGAAAGGATGGGAACAGAATATGTACATGGGCTCACAATACCTTCTTGAGATTACTGATAAGTTCAAAATGGGGAAGTAGGAAATGTACAGGCAGACCTGTGGGAGGCAGCACCTTATCACGTGACGAGTGAGTATTCCCAGCACCCGGACAAACAGGCACTGCATGTTGCCCATTGATGCACAAGGGACATAGCATCACGTCTCAATGTCAAAAAATGCTACACTGGATCTGCTCAAGAGGAAACCTGAGGCAAACCCAAACAGAGGGGCATGTTATAGACTATCTGGTTCATACTGCAAACCCATTGAGGCAGTGAAAGGAGCTGCCTTAGCTTTTTTTTTTTTTTTTTTTTTGAGACAGGGTCTCAGTGTGTAGTTCAGGCTGGCCTTGAACTTGAGGTGATCCTCCTGTCTCAGCCTCTTGAATGCCGAGATTACAGGCACGTGCTGCCAGGCCTGGCTTTCTGCCTCAGATTAAAGGAGACTAAAGACTCAAGACAGTGTGTGATTGGGACAGTGACAGGACCTATACACCACAGATCTTCAGCGTCCATGGGTAGAATTCAGGGGACACAGCAAACTTGGATGGGTTAACTACTTGGATGGTTAACTTGGATGGGGGAACTACTGTCTTCTATTGCTTTATTGAAAGAAACAGTTAATGATTACTTGATTGATAAATATTGCATGCCTATATTTGTTTTCCTGAGAAACCACTTTGAAGATATCAATAAGTATTACAGCAAGCATTGTTAATTTCCTACCACTTTGTCTGTGACTCTGTATTGTTTGTGTTGTTCTTTTCCTATTTTGTAAATGGGTTAAAAAAATTGTATTTTCTTTTCCACTAATTGCTAACTGAAACTGCCATTCCTTCCCTCCCTCCCTCCCTTCTCCCTCTTTCTCTTCCTTCTTTTAAATGTTCACAGCTCTACGAGGGTTCACAACTGTGCCACACGATGAGCTACTGGAAAGGTAAATAAAAGGGTTTTTGGTGGTAGTGGGAGGTAGCGTCATCCCCCTCACCCCAGGGTGTCCCCTAGAAAACAGCATAGGGCAGGTGATTTCATCAGGAATTAGAGGAACCTCATCTCTGGACTTCCTACTGCCAGGTCATGGCCTTCTGTCCCTAGAACTCTACTCATGGTCCTTCGGGGTTACTCTGGAGTCTCTTGCAAAGAGAGTAAAGACTATAACGAGATCCTTTGTCTCCAAGAAGACAAGAGAAGGTTTCATTTGTCTGTCTTTGGCTTTACTGAATGAAATGTGTGAAATCCTGCCTGGACTTTATAGTCAATACTGTGAGATGTACTTGCATGCTTATAATCAGGCTGCATTCTCAACAATATGTCTCCTATCTCCTACCTGTATATTGGAGCATAGAGGTCTTTGTTTGTTGGAAGATTCTTTTTTTTAATGCCTTATTGGGGATTTAACCCAGGGCCTGGTGTTGCAAGCTTGCTATGTTTGAGCTACCCACCCCAACCCTAGCTCTTTTGAGACAGTCTCACTAAGTTGCCCAGGCTAGCCTTAAACTTGTGATCCTCCTGCCTCAGCCTCCCAGAGTTCTGTGACCACAGTTCTGTGCCACCACACCTGTCTTACTGCTTCATTCTTTTTTCCATTTATTTGTTTATTTGCTTGTTTTTGAGACAGGGTCTCACAATGTAGTTCAGGCTGGCCTTGAACTCATGATGTAGTTTAGGCTGGACTTGAACTCCCAGCAGTCCTCCTGCCTCAGACTCCTGAGTGCTGGGATTACAGGTATGTCTGCCACCATGCCCAGCTATTGCTTCACTCTTTCGTTGATTTTGTTTTTGTTTTTGTTTTGGTACCGGGAATCGAACTCATGACCTTGCGCTTGTCAGGCAGGCACTGTGCCACTGAACTATATCCCCAGCCCTTGCTTCACTCTTCTTTTTGGTACCAGGAATCAAACTCAGGCCCTCAGCTTGCCAGGCAGGCACTGTGCCAGTGAGCTACATCCTCGGGCTATTGCTTCACTCTTTTTTTTTTTTTTTTTGTACCAGGAATCAAACTCAGGACCTTCCACTTACCAGGCAGGCGCTTGTGCCGCTGAGGTATATGTCCAGCCCCCTACTGCTTCACTGTTGTTGTTTTTTTTTTTTTTTGGTTTTGGTTTTTCTCTGGTACCGGGAACCGAACTCATGACCTTGCGCTTGCCAGGCAGGCGCTTTGCCGCTGAGCTAAATCCCCAGCCCCCCCTACTGCTTTACTCTTAATGTGAACAAAGTTCACCAAAATCTGAAGAAAGTCTGCAATACCCATAAAAACTACATAGATAAGCAAGCAGCATTTTAAATAAAGGCTTCAGAAAAATATGCAGGTACAGAAGAAAATTTAAAGGAAAAAAAAAAAACCATATAGTAATGCAGGAAGATACTACATCCAGAAAGCCAAGACAGCAACCATAGGACAAGAATAAGTTCTCAGAAAACACAAAATACATTAAGCAGTAAGAGACTTGTAAAATAAAGTTAAGGAACCTAGGAAACAATGAGAAAGAAAGGTAAGATATACAAAACCGAGTTGGACAAAGGCTTTTGGGATTTGCCAGCTGGTCCTGGAAGTGGGAGGCACTTGGGCACTGTGGGAGAAGCAGGTTGCTTGGCCAGCATGGTGTCGCATGCCTATAATCCCAGTACCCCAGAGGCTGAGGCGGGAGGATTGCCACAGGTTTGAGGCCAGCCTGCCCTACACAGTGAGTTCCAGACCAGACTGAACTAGAAAGTGAGGTCCTGTCACACACACACACAAAAAGGTAGATTGCTACAGTCTTCCACCCTCCCACCTTTATGCACACTGGGCAGTGTGTCCTCATGAAGAGGTGGGAGTCTGTGTCCACTCCCCTCAAATCTCAGGCAACTTGGTGACTTGTTTAGTCCATAGCATATGGCTGAAGTCCTCTGCCATGCTGAGTACTCTGCCTTCTTGGAGAGCTGCAGGGGCATCATGAGAAAGGCATGGACCCACAGAGCGTGGGCTCACAGAGCGTGGGCCCACATGGAGCAGGGGTGACCTGTCCCAGCCGAGACCTTTCCAGCCCAGTTTCCAACGGCATTGGCCACAAACTGGGAAGGCCTCATGAGCCCAAACAAGACCAGGAGAGCTGCCTCGGGGAGCCGGGCCTGTCGCCAACCCGCAGGGCTGGAAAGGAACAGATGGCGGCTGGGTGAGACTGTTGCATTCGGGGGAGCTGAAGAACCAGCTGAAGAGACGCTGGCTCCCCTGCTGGTTCAGAGGGGGCTTTCCTGTACCTCCCAGTGTCGGGAGGATGAAAAGCCACATGTCCGGGTCCTCAGCAGCTACAGTTTTGAGTATGAAATAAGGCCTGATAATTAGCTATCCTGTGAGACAGTCCAGTAGAGAAGCATCTTCCTGCTGTCATTTCTGATGACAAGGACGCAGCGGTGCAAGGGTCCAGAGCCAGTCTCAGCGGCCAGATGCAGCATTCTGGCACCTTCTCTCCCGGGTCGGGACTGCATGGCACACAAGTGGCAGTGGTACTCCTGTTGGCCGACCAATGTTCTGATGACAGCTCTCCAACTCACTCTGGGCGCTGGCGTAGGCTCCCGCAGCCCTTCTCTCAATTATGTGACCAACTCAT